GGGAGGGAGGCAGCGGAGCGGGGCGGAGGGGCCGCCGGCTGCTTCTCATTGATTTTTCCTCCCCCAGGGCGGGTCCTTTCCCCGGGGGCTTGTAGGTACCGAGCGGTGCTGCTGGGTTTTTGCCGGGCGGCGCTTGGTGCTGGGGGGTGGTTGGGAAGTAGCGGGTCTGGCAGCTGCAACGAGCAGAAGGGCTTTTCTGGGCGGGTGGTAGTAGGTATTAAAGCTACACGCTGTGAAGCGAAGATTAAACACAGTAGGGTGAGGGGGTCGCTTAGGTTTGCGGGGTTTTACGCGTAGTGAAAAGAAAGAGCTTCTTGAAAGAGCTGGTGTTGCTCTGGGCTGAGGTGTTCAGCTTTGTGTGTGTTAGAGGTGTCCACGTGGAAATGCTTCTAGGACTTCATAGAAACTGCATAATGAGGTCGATTACCTTTAATCAGAGGGGAGGGTGGCAGGTGGGGAGAGAACCCCCAAGCCAGAGAAGCTCATTGGACTTAACCCACAGACCCCGTGGGGATTTCTTACCAAGGGTTGTTACCGGTTTATCCCATCCAATGCGTCAGGTGCCTCTTCGTGTCCTTTTCAGCTGTCTTGCTTTCAAACATCAGCCAGCATCCATGAACTAAGGAGTCTGGGGCTGGGAATCAGCGAAACATGAACTTCAAGAACTTTCTAGTGCTCCTTCTGCAGATCGATATGCCGAAGTTTCCATGATCTTTCCCAGGAAAGGCTTTTGCTGACGTTTTGGTGAGCAGTGGCACCGCACTGAGTCATCGGCATTAACGAAGCAGAGCCACGTGGGGATTTCATCAGGGACCCAGCAAAAGATCTGTCCCAGTCTTGGAGATGCAAGCCAAAGTCACATGAATTTGTCCTGCATTTCTCATCCTTTCTTGTGATCATTGTTTCTCAGCTCTTCTGCAGAATCAAATAATCTGATTGTAACTGCCTGGGCAGGTCTGGTTCGGGATGGGAGAGCAGAGCCAGGTGTGGGTCTCTGGTCTGTTTTTTTCTGCAGTGAAACCCTGCAGTTGTACCATCTGCTGTGGCGTTGCGAGCTGGGTGGGTGGGTGTCCTGCTGCCCAACTGTGTTGGCAGTGCCAGGGTGATGGCTCCTGAGCACATGTGGAGAGGAAGGCAGAGGTGTTGGCCAGCTATCTCCAGCTGGCAAGTGGCCCCTAGGGAGCTCTTGCCAGCTGGCTTGGGCTAGTGCTGCCAGCACTGGTGTTAAGTGGGGTATGCTGGCTCCCCACGGCCTTCCTATCTCTGCTCTGGAAGAACAGCTGCTGCAATATTATTATTTCAGGCTCTGGGGTGGATTGGACACTCGTTCCTCCTAGCAGGTTAATAAGACATATGTCCAACACCATTTGCTTCTTCTGACATTGTTATGATAGCCTAATGCTTCCTCTTTGTCTGTGTATGTCAGCTTTCATCATTAACCGAGCACTTGCTTAACAGTCATTAATCTATCTGTGAATCTCCTTGGAGAGGCAGGAGCTTTGGAATGACAGGACAAAGGCAGTGAGTACAACCTGACTTTATATTCCTGCACCACTGACATAGCGCTCAAAAGGTAGCCTGAAGCTGGCATCTTTAATAGCAAAAGACATTCAGAAGTTTGTCTGTTCTGTGCTTTATCACATCAGCTGGCTGTAACTCAGAGATGTGCTGTGACAGCATCACTATAAGGACAAAATCAGATGTTTGCCCTTGTGCGTGTCATGGTTTCTCATGGACTGGAGGACCAGAGGGAGACTCATCAAAAATCAATGAAGTGGGTCAGCCCCTCTGCTTACGTGACTGTGAGCAGCTTGTGCCATTAAGGGCAGCATGTCCAGCTCCTGTGGGATTGGGAGACTGTCCTTTTAGTAGATTAGTAGAAGGGCCCTTGCTGCCAGTTTCCTGCCCCAGTGTGTATGTACATCCTTATCCCCTGTGCTCAGACGGAGGACGCAGGCAGGTTAGCAGCGTCAGCACTGAGCGCTGTCGTAGTTATGTACCTACTAGGTTAGTAAATAAAGTAACCTAAACCCTGGCTCAGGCAGTGCTGAACGCAGAAGATGGGGGAGAGGCTTGGCTCTGTATAGCACCATCTCCCCCACACACCACCTGGCATTCTGGGGAAATGGTGGAGTGGGGATGTGGTGCTATTTTAGGGGAATTCCTTCTGTGCCATCCTTGTGTGGGTTCCCTGCTCTGACTGCAGTTGTGTACGCAGAGAAGAGGCGAGGGCTGGAGAAGCACATTCCTACATATGTGTCTGGGGGAGCAAAAATAGAGGACAGTAGAAATATCAAGGGAGTTATTACTGTGTTCAGTTATTACACACTGAGTCAGTGCTCCAGGGGATGCCTGCTTTCTCTGCAGACACAGAGAACATGCAAGATGATGTTGTTCTCAGGAGTGCAAGGCTACACGTTCCTGTCTGCTTTGCAGGGAGCTTCCTTGGGACCATGTTAGTTTTTCTGACACTGTTACGGTCAACTGACCCTCTTCATCTCCACAACCTGCTTTGTGTTCATCTATTACAGAAGATCTCTTGCTGTCCCAAGCAAGCAGTGTTGCAGAGAGTGTGATAGGTGTATTTAAGACTATCCTGACTCATGTAAGAACTTCAGAACTGCACCCCAAGATGTATGTTTGTGTACTGTGATTATACAATAAGCCTTGCTTCTGCATACTCGAGTGTGGCTGGCAGACTTGCTTAACCTCACTTCTGTAAATCCAAAGTGTGTGAGAATTGACAAGGTTTATTAATAATACACAGCAGCCATGCTCATTAACCAGCTGGAGACATTGCAGCAGTGATGGCAAAACAAAGCAGCTTGAAGGTTTCATTTGCAACATCTTCTTTCCCAACATGTCCTAAGGACAGGCAGAGGTGACAGGTTGTGCCACTTCCTCCAGGAGTTTCCTGTTGGGATTTGATTTTTATTGCTTATTTATTGGGGTGGTAACAGACCACTTAGTGAATGGAAATTTTCCTGTCCTTTCTCATTCTGTCCTTCCCTCTGGGAGCTGCCTCTCATCTAAGCAAGACAGGATTTCTCTGTTAGGATGGGGACAATAGTTGTTTCAAAGCCTTGAGGAATGGTATCCTATTGGGGAAGTGGGGGGGGGGGCACCCAGAGCCCCTTGCGGAAGCTAAAAGGCTCATGGGGTGCAAATAGGCCTTGCTTGTTTCCTGGTTTTTACCACCCAACAGGTACAACTACATGAAGACCTAACTTGCAGTAAAGTTTCGGTCTTGGAATTTAAGCACCTTGTTTTTGAAGTATGTTCTTTTTGTGCTAGAAATGTCAACACGCCTCTTCTCTCCTGCTGGGCTGCAACTTTGCATTGCTTTTCCATCCTGAATGGGAGAAGTTGTAATACAAAATATGCCTGGTGTACTGACCTGCCAACCCAAAACTCAATGCATCTCATCCCACCAATTTGACTTGAGGGCTTCTGTCAGTGATGCACGTTGCTAGGATTAATGAGTCTGTAATCATTCTTCTTCTAGGTGTAAGCACAGTTCCAGTGGAAAAAGACCATGTTGAAGAAATGGTGAGTAGCTGTATGTCAAAGCACATTTCAGAAAATGTCACATGCTCTCCATGGTTTGACTTTAAATGCTCAGGGTAATGTGTTTTTTTTCCATAAGGGTAAACTCTTATGAGATGATCAGTGATGCAGAACTTGGAGTCCCTTTAGCTGTCAGAAGATACCTGTGTGCACTTCAGTGCATTTGATTAAAACGGAAGCTGGCTTCTTGGGTTACTGTGGCACTTTGGAAACTATGTTGTACAGTTGCCCAAAAAATTATCTGAAATATTATTTGACAGTACATGTTACTGGACTGTAAAAAGTGAGATGGAAACTTTGAAGAAAGATTAAGTATTTACAGTTACCGACTATGTAATGGACTTTCTAATGCAGTCCTCCCGTTTTCTGCTTTGGAAAGAGATTTTTAACCTATTGGCTTAAATAAATGCCATTGGCTGCTCTCAGCATCTGTAACCTGACATCATACCCTCTCCAGTTGCTGATTGTGTGAACATTTAGGTTAATAAACACTTGGTAATAACTGCAAAACATTTAAAAGACAAACAGCTGTATAAATGTTTTATTGTCTGCTCCCATCCAGATTGTCATCCTGAGACTCGTACCCCTGGTGATCTGAGCATTTGCTCACAACCAACAGCTTCAACACTTGAAAATCATTTGTGTGAATTTGTACAGAAGAGCTACTTTCCTAGCACTTAGGATTAGAGGAGGTCGTGTGACTTTCCTAAATCAATGAATTTCCTTTTTCTCCAGAAGACTATCCAGTTTAATGTTAAGAGCTAAGAGAAGCAGGGCTTGCAGCAAACTTACACAAAAAAATGTGGAGCACGTCACTTATAGAGGATATAAAGGTGTTTTTTGTTTGTTGGCAATCCAGGCAGTACTTCTGTTAACACCTTTGCAGCATCCTCCTGTTTGAACATGCTTCTCATGTTTAGAACAGTGTTGTGTTTGTTATTTTTTTGTAGGTGCTGTTACCACATGTTGTTTCACTCTTCTTTGCACTGAATAGGCTATTAAATATTTAAAAATGTACAAAAGGAGCCTGTTACCTATGCAAGCAGGAGGGGAGATAAAAAGAACTAATGACTTTCTTCTTCTTACTGTTACGGGAGTGAGGAGCAAAGCCCTTGTTGCCCAAATGCACAGGAAGTTGTGGTAGAGCTGGGGATTACTCAAAACTCATTAATATTAGCCTAAACTCTAATCCTAAACTAGCTTTCCTCACTAACTGTGTCAGAAGTAGGATTTCCAGTTTTGCCATGAGAATTTGTTCTCCTCTTTTGTTTCTTGTAGGTAACACGGTGCATAGTGGAAGTCCTGTCCAATGCTCTCTCTAAGCCAAATGCACCACCAATTAATCCTGAGTGCAAAGAAATCCTGAAGAAGAGTAAGTACAGCATGTTCTGCACTTGTGAAGGGACTTTGTTAGGTGGATTATCTCATTTTGGAGCTGGTGAACTGTTATTTCGGCCTGTGTGAAAACAGTGTTTCCAAATTTTAGTCTCAAAGTTCTGGTTTCCTTCTGCATAGTCTGTCTTGCTCAAAGAGCAAACAGCCTGACCTGGTAACTCTCAGGGATTCCTGGTTAACACATGTGGCGCCCTGCTTTAGCCACCTGGAGAATCTGGGGAAACTTAGACAAGCTCTTCAGGTAGCCTGAGAAGTCAACAAACGTGACCAGGTTTGGACCACATGCTGAATGCATCCCAGAGGGTTATATGAACTGGCTTCAAATCACCACTACTTAAATCAACAAAGCTTCTATGCCTGGTGGCAACTGAATCCACGCTGAGCTCGGGAGGGGGAAATCTTGCTCAGCCCAGGAACGATTAAGTTTGTGGTGCTGATTCCAGAGGTCTGGAGATGTGTGCTGAAAGCTCCCTGTGGGAGTGCTCATTTCAGATGAGCTCATTCCTCCAGCATGCTGCTTTGCTGCCTCCATGTCGAGGTGGAAGCCTGCTCACATGCTTCATTACTATCTGTAGTGAAGTGTGGTTAAGTTTGGTGCTGTGCCAGGCTGCAGAACCCACATCCTTCCTTTCTGCTCAGTTGTATTTATTCTGTTACAGAACAATAAAAAGGGTCTTGAACTTACCTGACAGCAAGAAGCAGTAATGAAACCTGTTCGTCTCCTGCTCTGTAGAGGGAATGATGCATGGCCCTAATACAATAATCAGGAGAGGATGGGTTTTGGGCTTTGGAAAGACATGTATGTAGCTCAGTCCCAAATGTATAGGAGGTGCTGAATGCTGTCAGCCATCAAACTTTTTTTTATGACATTGTTAGTTTCAGGAAAAATCTTGTGTATTTTCCAGGTTTTGGAAAATAAAAGAACACTTACTGGAAAGAGGGTATGGACCATATTTCTGTCATTAGACAGATTTCCTCCAGAATGTTGGATAAGGGGAAGCTTTTCAGAATGAATGAGCTATTTTTAAATCTGTGCAGCTATTGTCTGAAAACTCCTAGGATTTGTGATTATTTCTGATGTTACTCCAAGACAAGTGAAGCAGAAATATCTTGACACAAATACACTGTTTCTATTGTGGGCAGAATCAGACTTTAATTTGGCATTTTGGAAATTATGGAAGGAGCATGATTTGATTAAATATAACTATTGCAAGGAGCATGATTTGATTAAATATAACTATTGCAAGGAGCATGATTTGATTAAATATAACTATTGCAAGGAGCATGATTTGATTAAATATAACTATTGCAAAACAATAGCTTTTTTTTCAGTCAATTTAGAACTTTTAAAATCTGCTAAAAGCCCCAGATATTTTTGAGTAGTTTGAAATTGATGGTTGTCTTTTTTGTGAATAAGCATATATGATGGATAAAGCCTGGCATTCAAAGAACTGAATAGAGCTCCACATCCCAGTGATTTTAGTGGGAATGAGAGTTAAGCTTGTGATCACAAAGAAAGAAAGAAACTAAAGAGGAAAAATTATTCTGGAAATTTCAGTGGAACTTTAAAAATGCCTAATTAGTTCATGTTTTTTTCAGGCAAACATACAAAATACTAGGAAATGACTAATTTTAAAAGTAAAATTATAAAATCTGTCCAAATCTTCTTGCCACTTTGGGAAGACTGTTATCTACTTAAACTGAAATAATGCTTCATTGGCAAGTTGGATTACTTCATTATGCTGCTTTTGTTATTGTAGGTGGGAAAAATGACAGAGAGAGAAGTGACAACAAACCACTTGAAGTGAGGCATTTGAAAGACCCAGCAGAAATCGAAAAGCATCATACTGGGAGTGTGGAGAAAGAACACAGTCAAGCAGAAGAGGAATCTAAAAAGTACATGAAAGGAGATGATGAGGAGAAACTTGCTCGTGAGGAAGGTAAAAGTGAGGAGGAGGATGGACACCACACACCTAT